GAGCAAGGTAAGAATTCGAAAAGTTGTTCTAATTTCCCTTGTGTCTGGTATATCTTGACTATATCTTGCCACACAGCAGACGTTTCATAAGTGACCGTGTCTAACATTAGTCTTTGGCAATATATCCACTTCTGCCAACTTGGCAACAGTCTGCAAGAAAAAAATATATTATTTCCAGATAGTCAAATGTGAAAACTCAATATAAAGCAAATCATTGTTTAGATTAAGGTGCTTGCCAATTGCTGTTGTGTTTTTTTATTTAATGCAAAAAAAATGTTTTTGTTACTTTAGTATCACTATAGTGAGTTTTATTGTCAACTAATTGTTGTAGACTATGTTTGACGACAAGTGAGTGAGCAATTTGTTAGCAATGATTTTTCTTCGTAAATTGAAAAATAATATAAGTTTATTGTTGATGCAATGTTGGAAACTTGCTGTTATTATATTTTGAAGACCGTTGCTAGCAAGAACGTGCTGAAAACACTGAAAATACACTCTTTTCTTACAGTGCTGAAACCTTATCCTGATAAGAAAACATTTACAAAACTACGTGACAAAATTTTGCACAAAAATTGTAAGTTGCAATTATACAAATATATTTTAAAACATAGATGTAAATCATTGATCGTTTATAAAATATTTTTAAGTGTTTGCAAACTTATTTTGCAAATATTATTTCGGCAAAAGAATAACGATATGGCGAAACATCTTAGCAGTATATTTGCAAAGTTAATTAAAAAAAAAATTGTGCATAAAGTGAGAAAAAAATTACAGCTATGTGATGTTTAAAATATATAGTAATATAATTGCATATGTTATGTTATAGCTCATCATCTAAGTGCAATCATTGCAAGATCGTCGTTAATTCATGATGCCATTTTTGTGCAATATTTTCACAATTTGCTTATGAGGGATGAGCAATACTTGTGGCAAGTTACCAACAATTTGCACTCAATTGGCTATCTAAGATTTTACTTAAATAAATATAATTCTTCTTAAAGTTTAATCCATTAGTGTTATTCCATAGATATAAGTCCAGTAGCACGATAAGATCTTTGTGACTTCAACGGACGTCAAGTTGGTATTGGGAAAATAGAATAACGTACTTGTTTTGTGTAGGATGATTAAAATGCCAGTTTAATATTCCATTAACATGTTCTTTGCACTTTAAACTACGAAGGATGCATGTCCATTTTAAAACTTCATGATAGAATTGATTATTGGCACTATTTTCCGAAGAATGTGTATATGATATGTCATCAAGAAACTTATTCAATATTTCTAGGAGTTTATTCTATAAAAGCAAAAAAAGTTATGTTGTAACACAGTGTTAATTACCAAATGTTTTTAATATGTAAGTATTTAACAATATCTTTGTGTTACTTAGCGTTCTATATCTAAAATATTGTAGATTCTACTAGTTTTGTGACATCTTAATATATAGCACTTCTTTTTATTCTTTTTTAAGCTATATGTATGTTTATAAAGATTACGAAGTTTTTTTTTATTGAATATTTACATGTATTGCTGATAATTTTTATAAAATTTATTTTTTAAACAAAAAATATCGAATATTTGTTGTTCTAGATAGTACTCGTATAGTATAGTTTTTATGATGCCAAAACAACAAAAATTACACTATCGTAAACGATACATTTCTACAACACAATATATCATCGGTGTTTTATGTGCAGTTCATTTATGAACAAAAAATAGATAGACCACAAAAAAGTTACATTGCGAATACAATTGTATTTAAATTTTTTAAAGTTATAAAAACTTGCAAATTGTGTGTACTTAGCAATTATATAGCACTTTTATAGAGTATCTTTTTAATTATAATGACGTGCCTGTCCATGACTGTGAATTTGTATGTTTGCAACATTCTATTTATGTTCTTATAGTTGTTATGTTGCCGGCTAAAGATACACAAGTGTGTACACCTGTTTTCTAGTATATGTATATGTATATGTACATGTACACAGGCTTCAAAGAAACCTTTTATCTGTGTAAATACATATTTTTGACTACATTTTAAGACAACATGTTATTTGACAAACTTGTGCCCAAAGCTTCCTTTTTGAGTTATTAATAAAAATAGGTGATGTACCACAAGTCGGATACGAGAGGTAGGAATATTTTATAAATATATATTATATATATATATGAATAACATATGCGCAGAAGCGGCGCAATTCACCGTGAGTAACAGTACTTTATGTAATGCACAGATTAAGTAATACAAATTCCAAATGAAGAACTAAATAACTGAGAGAAAAAAAAGAAAAAAAGAAAGAAACAAAGAAAACTACTGAAACAGTGTGTAGCGATTAGCTGATCGCGTCAGGCAGCATACCCAGATAGGAAACCATTTACAAACTTATGTGACAAAATCTTGCACTAAAATTATAATTTGCAATTATACAGACATATTTTAGGAAATAGATGTAAAAACATTAATCTTTTCTGAAATATTTGTAAGTGTTTGCAAAATTACTTTTCAAATACTATTTCGGCAAAAGAATAACGATATGGCACATCATCTTAGCAGTACATTTGCAAAATTAATTTTACAAAGAAATTGTCCAATAATTGAGAAAAGAAATTTAGATATGTCATGTTTTAAATATGTAGAAATATGATTGCATATGAAGAAATGCAAGAAATCGTCGTCACTCATGATGTCATATTTGTGCAATATTTTCACAAATGTGCCTATTAGGGTACGTAATTGCTCGCGTCAGATGCTGAGTTGTGTCCTGCATACTTCTTGTATCCGACTCATGGTAGTTCAACTATTTTTATAAATAACTCAAAAAGTAAGCTTCAGATATAATTTTTTCAAATAAAACAATGTCTCAGAATTTAGGTGTCAAGAATATGTATTTACAAGAATAACGAATTGATCTGACTCACTTTGTACATATGTGTATATAGTATATACAGGGTATTTGCCGTCTTACCACTCGTAGGTAGGTGACGAGAAGTCTGCGAAGAAGGTATCGCTTACGCGTAGAAAAGAAAAATATTCATTATCGCTTTATGATATGTATTTAACACTTATATATATATGTCATAAAATTTACTGTCAGTTCTATTCACTTAAATGTACAAAAGCACTCTAAGTGATTTATCATGTAAGTTTGTCAATTTATTGCATATTTTGTCGGTATAAACTTAAACTTTATTTAATTTTATATTCCTTAAACGAGACATTCAGCCGCTTTTAATGAGGCACTTTATATTAAGAACTGTTAAGTCTTTCATTCTGTCTTTTTTTTAGTTGATGTATCAGTACGTTTTTAGTAATCATATTGTTAGATAGAAGNAAAGAAGAGGCAATCGTGGTCTTACAGACAATCAAAGGCTATTACGGCAGTAAATATTTTCTTTTTCTGCTTGTTACTACCGTAACAGCCTTTGATTGTCTGTAAGACCACGATTGCCTCTTCTTTNCTTCTATCTAACAATATGATTACTAAAAACGTACTGATACATCAACTAAAAAAAAGACAGAATGAAAGACTTAACAGTTCTTAATATAAAGTGCCTCATTAAAAGCGGCTGAATGTCTCGTTTAAGGAATATAAAATTAAATAAAGTTTAAGTTTATACCGACAAAATATGCAATAAATTGACAAACTTACATGATAAATCACTTAGAGTGCTTTTGTACNTGCCAACAAAGTTGTTGCGTTTTTTCTTTTTGTGTGCTAACAGTTTTGGCAGTGTTTCCGTATTGTAGCATTTCTGCAAACAATTTCTGTTGCCAAGGTCTGAGCCGAAATTGTCAAAAACAGAAATTGTTTGCTGGGTATATAATATATATACAGTATATATCTAGTATATATATATACTATATATATTATACTTTATTTTTCTAACCTTTTTTATTTTCTAGTTGACGATGAGCTTGCAATCATCTACTTTTGTAATGTACTAAATGTATTATTATTTACCTTGATATTTCTTGAAAGAACACTTTCTGGGAACGGAACAATCTTCGACATGTTTTCAAGTGCAATAAGTACAGGATACCACGCTGTATAGGAATTGTTTACGTGAAATATACTGCTTGCAAGTTCAAGATATATGTCCAGGTCAATTTTATCTGGAACATAATTTTCGTTATACTTCGTATTTTGCACCAAAAAATAAAAAGCATCGTCTAGAAGTTGTGCTAAAGTGACGTCAGACAATTCTGCGATCACAGACCCTCCAGTTTTAAGAAAAAAAGCAATGTTCTTCCAAGAATAACGATCATAGTTTACGCGATATCCTACAACAAAAAAATTGTTTAGAGAATCAAAACAAGAGAACGCGAGATTCAACCAATATAATAGTAGCATTAACTGTAATAAGATAGTGAAAAGATTTACTATATACAAGGTGTCCCAAAATTGGGTAACCATTTCTCACAAACAGAACAAAGAATTAAAACTGAGTCAAAAAATTGTATACCATTTTGCTAGATTCGCAATAGTTACTGAGATCGTAATTACCAAATATTCGCAAATAATCATGCATCAGGCTATCTTATGCAAGTAAGACAGCACCGTGCGCCTCGCACGCTTACGATATTATTTGTAGCAACATATGGGAAAAGCTACTATTACTGCATATACTCTGACATATACAATGTAATCAAGCAAAACGCGCCGAGCTCTCACGCGTGTACGACAGAGATGATACATTAATTCTGGAACACACTGTATATATACATATATATAATATATATAATAAATAAATAATTCATAATCACATTACCTAACTGGTCCACGACAATGGTAATCTGATTTTCATAAAGTAGAGATATAAACATTTTACTGTCTGGTTTTAGGATATGATAATAAGTGGCAAGAACTTGTGTGTTTAATAATTTTTTAAAAGTTACAGGTATCCACCATTTTTGTTTGCACAGTGTTTTGACAGTGGAATTAACGTCAAAACAGTCTCTAATCTCTGCAGACACAGACTGTGTATCATTGTGTCGGTTTACTTGTATCACAGGATAACCACTTTGTGCTGTCCATGAAGTTATCATATTTTTGATATCTGACAATTTTATGTATGAAACATTCTTATATAAAGAATACGTCTCAAAATTTCTATTCCATAACTTATCAAGAAGTGACAATTTGTTGTACGTGTTATTTGATGTCTTCTTCCTAATAACAAGTATAATATAATTAGAATACAAAATATAGGAGTACTGCTTGCTGTAAAGTTTAAAAAAATATATTTTATGTTTGTTATAAGGTATGGTGGCTTTACTAATAAATAATGTGAAGAATTAAAGTATTAATTAAAAATTGTCGAAATTCTTTGTATTCCAATGATTTATATATATTCACCTGTAATAATATAAGTGTACGGCTTCTTGAAATAGAGAAGTATATAGGAAATCTTGTTGAAAGACGGTATTCAGCATGTAGAAAGTACTGAATGCTATAACATAATTCATAATGTTGAAGTTTTGATAGATTATGTAAAACCTTAATTATAATAAATAATACGTTTACAAATTATGGCTTATTTAACTCTAAAACGCATAACAATTTACAGTTAATAGTGTTATTGAAATATATTTCATAACGTTAGGTTTTATGTTTTCCATTTGTTCGTATAATTCTTAGTAAACACAAAATAACAGTAATGTAAAAATTGTTATACTTTTTCACTCAACAATATATATGTGATGTTACACGCTTTGTACGTAGCAGTTATAGTGGTGAGTGGAAAAGTATACCATTAATGTTACGTTACGTTTTACTTTGTGTTTACTCTCTCTCTAGAATTACAGTAACACTTTAGTAATACTTCTATTCTTTGACCTACATATTTACACAATATCATCAACTTTCGATAAGAGTGTGTTTTCTCTGGTTTGTACTACAAGTGCAAATACAATTTACGATATTTATAACTTATTATTGTTTGTTTACATATTAAAGTACCAGAAATATTATATCACGTATTACATTGGTTACTTTGAAAAGTGTTAATCGATTTGGAGTTTATCATATTTCAAACTACATGAGATATAAAAGTACAAGCTTCCAATAAAAGTAAGGCACAAAGTTTTAAGTACAATTAACACAGTTTTCTTTTGTATTAACAATTATAATGTCTGTCGCAATAAAGCGACACATGTTTCAAACGTTGTAAAAAGCAAACTACGACCAAACATCAAAAATGTTCACTTACAATAAACATAGTAAAGATAATGAGTAGCTGCAAAGTTTTACAGTATTTTTAAGATATTTACATTATTTTTAAAAGATATAGAGTAAGATCTGATACTTCTTGGCCTATCATTTAGTAAACGTTGAGTTAAAGAAATAAAAGTACTCAAACAATTTCTGGTTCTTTACCTTTTTCTCGCCACAGTTTAGTAAAAGTTGAAGTGCGTGATATAAGTGAATTTCCTCGAAATGGAGATTCATATGTAATTGCTTCTATATAATCAAGAAATATCCGTCGTGTTTGGACCACAATCGATTTTAGTAAAGATGTATTGTAATACTATCAAGAAGACAAAGTAAGGTAAAATATATTTTGATGATGAGCACATACTTAAGCATCTTAGGTAGTATGTAAGTAATGTATTAGAGTAATAAATTTCCTGTGTTTTCAATTATCTTTTTATATATAATCAAGAATATCACCAAAAGCTATATTAGTAAATTGATGATATTTTTAATTAAATAATTAAATAAAAACACAGGAAATCTAGTAGCAAAGTGAGGAAGAAAGTATGTAAATTATTCTCCACACACAAATATGATATATATGTTTTCATACTTTAATACTAATATGTCATACTGCGTATCATTTCAAAAAACCTAAAAGATGAATATATTAATATCAATGTAAACGGTCCACATTATTTCTAAAAATAACCCAAGCAACCAGCTGACGTTGTAATGACGTAAATATACGTGATTTTTGTTACTAATTAGTGATTATGACCTAAATCTGACGTTATTTTGAACGTCATAACAATGACGTCAGTATATACGTCACACATATACGTCATATATGATGTAACTATTGGTCTTTGGAGTAACGTCAGTTGAAATAAGTGAGTAAGACGTCATAATGACGTTATTTAAATAACACGGTAGTTAAAAATTTGTTTTTGAGTATAGTACGGTAATATTGTATTGTACCTTAAGTAGCTAGCTTATGAACGTTATAGAGATGTTATTTAATGTTATTTACTATTTAGCACGTTGCATACATCGCATTATATCTTATATATAATATCATACATATCTTTTGCTACGTTGTGGTAAAAACCTAACAACTTTTGTTTTAAACATAAACGCTTTGTTTTCAAAATATAGTATATCAACAA